TTCTTCCTGAAACATTTTTTAAAGTAATTTTTACTTCTTTAGAAAAAATGCATATATGGCAAACCATCTGTAATAAAAGGCCCATTCTATAAAATTTTACCTGGTCCTACTCATATCTGCAATCATAATCATATTTACAGACAAATATATCTATACTAATAAAAGAGTAATATGCTAATTACTGGGAGACCTTCCAGGAGAACTTCCAGATGTTCTTCTGGACGAAGCCATGGTGGTGGGGCTGAGGTAGAGGTGGTTAGAGGCCAAGAGGGGAGGGCAGTTGTGGGTGGTTAGGCTGGTGGGAGGTGCGGCCATTGGGGATGAGCAGACCAGCAGGGGGGACAGTTGGGTACAAGCAGGCCATCCTTGGGGGTCAGTTGGAGGTGATCAGGGCAGCAGGGTGGGAGGGCAGTTTGGAGTGAGTAGGCCAGCAGGGGGACATTTGGGGATGAGCAGGCCAGTGGGGATGGAAGGTAGGGGTGAGCAGGCCAGCAGGGGTGGCAGTTTGGGGTGATCGGGCTGGCAGGGGGGCAGTTGGGGGCGAGCAGGCCAGCAGGTGGAGTGGTTAGAGGCAATCAGGCAAGCAGGCAGGCAGGTGAGCGGTTAGGAGCCAGCAGTCCCAGATTATGAGAGGGATGTCCAACTGGTGGTTTAGGCCCGATTCCTGTAAACTGGCAGGACATTTTTCGAGGGGTCCCAAATTGGAGAGGGTGCAGGCCAGGCTGAGGAACACACCCTCCACCGTGCATGAATTTTGTGCACCGGGCCACTAGTAAGAAATAAAAGGGCAAAGGGGCTGAAAATCTGTGGCTTCTGTAATAGTAGTGCTGAGGTAGAGGAACATTGCTCACATTTTGAAAGGGGAGATGGGTGAATCACACAGTCTGCGCTTCCTTTCTCTTTGTAAGACAAGACTAGAAACTCTTTCTGTCAATCCTCTTGCAAGAGGTTCCAATTAATATGCAATGTTGGCCATCTAAACTTCATCAAGTGTCTTCAGGGTTTGGTCCAAGGACAAGTATGAATGGAGGAGAAAAGGCCTACCCTCTTGAATTCTCACTGGATACAAGCCCCAGAAACATTGACCAATGGAAGGAGTTTTGTGAGGTGCACTGAAGATTCTATGTGAGATAATATTAATTCAGAATTTAAGGAACTAATCCTTGGGTGAGGAATTCAACTGGGACACGGTCAGTTGAAGGATACTGAAAAAATTCAGGAGTCTTGATCCTCAGGACCTTTGGCAGGTCTTCAAACTGTTAGATTAACATGGTGACTAGTACAAGAGGTTATGGGATTAATAAAAGCTTGAAATTCCCCTGACTTTATGAGCTTCTTTCCAAGTTACTAATCCTTCTGAGCCTCATTACATGGCAGCTGACGTTCCCCAGACAATCAATCCAAATGAGAGTGAGAGCTCCAGGGAGAACTCAAGGCCAAAGCCATAATATTTTTAATTCAATCTTGAAAATGGCATCTTGTCAATTCTTGCATTTATTGTTTCTTTGAATTAAGTCAATAAGTCCAGGCCACACTCAAGGGAATGGGTATACAAAAGGGCCTTAATTCCAGGGGGAACTCACTGAAAAACTTCTTAGATATTTCTAGCCTCCCAGTATCACATTTTATTTATAATTTTATAAAAACAGCCTAAAATTATTTCTATAGTAAGTAAGAATATATTTATACAATCCAGTAGACAAATTATTTCCTTACTTTTCTTGGCAGAGAATCCCAAATAGGACATTCCAATCAGGTCAATATGTTCAGTGACAAGGAGGTGTGAGGGAAGCAGGGGCCCGGTGGTAATGGGAACTACAGTCTGTGTTCAGAGCACAACATGTGTCCTAATAAGCAGCAAACACCGGGATGGAAGGTTAAGTCAAAATGTTAAAAAGAGCTTTGAGGTTCATCCTAATGACTTTTGGACTATACGTGTGGTATTAGTATGGGTAAAAGGACCTTGCAAGGTGTGTATTTTGCAGGGGTAGGTTTTCAATAGTTGATTAAGCAAATAAAATTGGGATTTGAGGAAGGTCACTGTCAGAATCATAGAGAATTGTTTATAAGGAGAGAGAAAGAATGGCAGTGAAAATAAAGGTGGTCAGGTTCCACAAGGAACCTAACAGCTGTAATCACTGTGGTTTGGTTACTCATTAACTATAAGAAGTGATAGACATTAAGGATGTTTTGAGAGGTTTTCAGTTTGTGAAAGAGAAGAATATAAATGCCATTAACTAAGAAAGGAAAGTCTTTAGTAAGAGCACATGGGGGTAAAGGTAATGTTTTCAATTTTTCACATGGATTTGTTATATTTTGGAATATCAAGGTGGAGATATCCAAGTAGTAATTGGTTGCACAAGAAATGAAAATATCAGTCCTTCTGTAAGCAATGTTAGAGCTAAGAAAAAAACAAACATGATTTCCCAGTAAAATTAGGAGGGTGATAGAACAGAAGCAAAGAAATACAAGGTTAATAAAGAGACACTAAGGTAAAAGATAGAAGGGATGCACCTTGGATGTCAATCTTTTAAGCCTTGAATTATTCATTAAAACACTTCTCTTTCTCATTCTGAGCATATATGTGGATTCAAATTGCTAGAATATTCATACCTGTTGAGTGTGTAATTTATGCAACAGAAAAAGAAAGAGAGGTAACAGCAATATAATGGAATAGGAAGCCCCAGACACTCATTCCTCCGATGGATGCACTGAGGACAATACAAGGACCGAAAAACAAACAAACAAAAAAATGGATAATACAATTTAAGGACAAATTCCTTTTATGAGAAATCTAGATATCAATTATTAGACTCCTGCACCCCAAATGAGCATGAAACCAGCTGTGCCGAAGAGGTAGGAAAGTGTGCTATATATAATAACATATTTTAAACCATAAAAAGAAGAAAATCCTGTTATATGCTATTATATGGATAAACCTGAAGGACATTATGCTAAGTGAAATAAGCAGTCATAGTAATAAATTCTGTATGATTCAACTAATACGAGATATGTAATGCAGTCAAGCTCATCAAAGCAGAATGTCTAATAGTGGTTGTCAGGGGCTGGTTGGAGGGGGAAATGGCAAATTGATATTCAATGGTTATAAATTTTCAGGCATGAAAAATGAAAACTTTTTAGAAATCATCATATAATATTGTGCTTATAGTTAATAATACTTTACTGTACTATACACTTAAATTTTTTGAGGGTCTTATATGAGGTATGTTACCACAGCAAAAAAAATCTGTGTAAATATTAGGGAGGCTGGGAAAGATGAGAATTATCTGGTAAATTCTGAGATTTCTAAAAATAAAGAGTATTTATTTTGCAATAAACAATAGAAACAAATGTATTTCTTGGGCAAATTCTGAATCATAAAATTGCCTTTTAAAATGTTTCTTAATTCTCAACCTCTCTCTGTGAAACTCTTAAGTTTTTATTTATTTTTTTAAAAAATGTATCTTTATTTTTGAACGTATTAAAGATGTCCCCTTTTTTCCAACTGACCCTCTCTCCACCCCCTACCCCAGACCTTTACCACACTATTGTCCTTTTTTTCTCCCCAATGACCCCACTCCTCCCCATTCTCATCCCCTTCCCACGCCTCCACCCCATTATTGTCTGTATCCACGGAATTTTTATTGAAATGTCACATGTGGTATTTTACTTTTCTGTTACCATTAAAAAAAATCCTTAAAATTCAAGATAATGTATCCCAGTCTAAAGGATGAATTTCTAATTACGTTAGAAAACATTGGAGAAGCAGATGGATTAAAAAATGTAAAGCAATAAAAAACATACAGAACATATAGATTAATATTTTTGTGATCTTGAAATGTGAAATTAATTCCAATGCTAGATTGAAAAGTGCTCTGCAAAAATTCATGTTTACCCAGAACCCATGAATGCAATCTTACTTGGAAATAATATCTTTGCCAATGTAATCAACTGAAGATGAGATCATAATGATTGAAGAGGGGACCCAAATCTAATATAGTTAAATTAAAAAGGAAACAGTGAAAAAAGAAATATTAAAATGTAAGTTAAAAGCAAAGGAAGTTAAAAGTTTACATCAAGTATAAGCGCATTTTTCTTTTTTTGAAAACAATTTAGACAATATTAATAGCAGACCATAAAAAGAAACAGAAAATGAATGAACTTACTAAAAAACAAACTCTACAAACAAATTATATTATGGGTATACCAACTTTCAATGGTAGAACAAGAAATGGGATTCAATGACTCTAGCTATTGGGAATGACATGCCTAACCTTCAAGCAAGGCTTCTATGCCAGTTCTACTTTAATCCAAGTTACTGCAGTAGCTAAATGTCAACGGCATCTGACAGCTAGTCCAGAATTGACATGACATGAGTTGGCTGCCTCACTTCAGCAGTTCCTTGCAGACAGGTGTTCACATCATGAAAACCATATCCAAAATGCCATGCCAATATCACTTAGACATAGTATATTCTCTTCTCACCAACCAAATAATAGTGTGCATTTAAATTAACTCAATCATAATTATTTGATTGAGGGGTCTGCACAGCCTTTACAAATGATGTGGGGGACACAACAAAACTATATCCTGAATAAATGAAAAATAAATCAAAAATAAATTTTAATTCTGTTCAGGGCCTTTGGCTTATCTCTCTTTTATAGACTTTTTCCCCCTAGTACTAACTCAGATTATCTAAACATAGGTCAAATGTGACTGTTGTTATAAAGATATTGTCTGATTAGATGTTGAATGCTGGAGTTAGACTTTGTCAAGAATATAAAAAGTTTGTCAGTATTTTATTAATCAGTCCTAGTGAAAAGTAAAATCAGTGAAATATTACATATTGGTCAAGAAACTTAGCTGAAGAAGTGGTTTCATAAGTGGAATTTATTTGTGGTGATGACAGAT